TTCTTGCTCTGACTGTGCCCCCCCCCGGCTCCTTACTGCCGGAGCTCCGCTCCTGTGTGCTCCCGCAGGAAATGACCCCTGGGCAGTATCAAAGAATTCGCAGCGCCCTCGCCAAACCTGGATTCGTATCACAATGGCTGAAGCAGTGACAAGCAGACGTTGGTTTGGACTGTAAATGGGATTTGCAAGACCAGGCCAGCCCCACACGTGTTTTGTCTATTTTCTTCTGCAGTGCTCATTTCCAGCACATGTCCAAAGGAGGGGGGAGTCTTCTGGAAATACTATCAGAAATGACCGAGGCCGAAACGCACAGGGAAAAGAAAAGCCGGCTGCCGAGCAAGCGCAGAACGCTGAGGAAACCCAAGAAGCCGATGACTCGGCACGTGAGCGGACAGCTGCCGCATGACTCAGCACGTGACCGGCAAGAAAGCGCAAGGAGCCGGACTTGTCCGCCTGCCCAGAGCTCCTGTCTTTTTTTTCTCGGTGGTGTGTCGTTCTCAGGCACCTCCCTGACTCCCAGGCAAGGAGGCCGTTCCAGGCCAAACGGCTTCAGGCCTTTCCAGTTTGAATTTTTCCAGCAATGGCAGCTCAGAATGAGACACATCCAAGTGGGGAGGGGCGCTCTAGCCAAAACTTCTACACATCAGCTTCAGCTTCCAGGGCTGGTTATGGCACTAGAGAGTCGTGCCAGGGATCCTGGCACCGCATACTTCACCTCTGCCCCTCTGAGGGGGCTTTTAGACAGAAGGAGCAGCCCGTCTGATCCTTTCTGCTTGGCAGAGCTGCCCTGCAGACGCCCAGAACTGCCACTTTTGAACCCAGCAAAATCCGGAAGTCAATAAGATCCCATCAGCCTCTCGAGTCCGGCCTGGCCCCTGCTGAATTCAGGCTGAGCGGCTGCACTTTTGATCGGTCCGGCCTGGCCCCTGCTGAATTCAGGCCGAGCGGCCGCACTTTTAATCGTTTAGTTCTGGTTTGAATTGTTTTAATGACGTGGGGAGTTTCGTTGTTTTAAGAGTGCAATTTTTACGATACGTGTTTTGATTTGTTCGCCGCCTCGGTGCTCTCAGGGGCACACATAGGTAGTGTATAAACGCTGTACAATGAAAAATAAAACTCGTACTCGGCCCAAGCCTGCTGAATTGTTGGACTCCTTCCTGGTCAGATTCTCTGGGGACATCATGACAGTTATTAAAGAGGGATTAAACCAATCCAGGTTTACAGTGCAGACAGGAGCAGGCGGTTCAAACAGGTCCTGGTTTCCGGGCTTGTGAACCGGTTTGTTCTTCCCCGGGTTTACAGCACCAAGATTTTTGACAGTTTCAGAGGGCAGCCCTGTTTGGTCTGCAGGAGAACAGTTTGATTTGAGTCTGTCATGATCCCGGGCCTATCGTGGTGTGGCCTACAGGCTCTGGGGAGGCCTAGTGGCCCCAGAGAAGCCTGTATTGGAGTAGCTATCAGGGCCTACATTTCCCTGGTTCCCTCTGGACCCTGTGATTGGTTAACAGGGGATTTTGGAGGGAAAACTTGCACCAGCAGAGGAGCAGAGGGTGGTGCCTGGGTTGAAGAGATGACAGGCCTTGCCCAAAGTGGGAGGGGGTTCACCACTGGGGAGCAGAGCTGGTGTTAGGCTGCTGCAGAAAGAGGGATCCCTCATCCAAAAGGGGTGGGTTAGTCTAAGACCAGGTGCCTAGAGGAGGCTAGGAACCTAGAGTCAGACACATTAGGGTTTCTTATTTTGCTGGCTTTACCTACTGTTACTGTGCTCATTTTTTCTACATGTTTTAGAACTACGGTTGTTATTAAATCTCTTTAATAAAACTAGTTTGTTACTCTGTCTGGGTCCTCAGGCCTCACTCGGTCACGTAGAAAGGGGAAACCTATGGAAAAGGAGTGTATAAAGGGGTAGGGTGGGTGCTCTGGGCCTTTCCGAGGAGACCCATGCCAGAGTGGTGGCAGCAGCCATGAGAGAACCTTTCTAGCCGCTGCCCGCGACAGAGTCCAGTAGCCCCCTCTGAGCAATGCTCCCTCTAAGCTGTGGAGTCTTGTGAGCCAAAAATTCTACTTTGTGAGCAGTGTTCCCTCTAAGCTGAGTGAGTGTGAACTAGCTCACAGTTTTTTAGCCTCCGGCTCACACATTTTTGCCTTAGCTCAGGAAGGAGGGCTCCAGAGCAGACTAATTTATGCAGTACCCAAATGGCTCGCTCACAGCTTTAATGCCAGTCACTCACAAAGTAGAATTTTTGCTCACAGGACTCCACAGGGAGCAGCATTGTCTGTGAGCTGCTGACATTAAAGTTGTGAGTGAGCAATCTGGCTACTGCATCAGTTCAATTGCTCTGGAGCCCTGTCCTCCCTGAGCAAAGACAAAAATGTGTGAGCTGGAGGCTAACAATCAGTGAGGTGGCTCACACTGACTCAGCTTAGAGGGAACACTGCTCTGAGAACAAGAAGATTCTCGGGACGTGAGCTTTCGAGAGACTCAGCCCCCTTCATCAGATATGACTCTCAGAAGCTTACACCCCCACCAACATCTTATTTTTCTCTTGTGATGCTACTGGACTCAAACCGAGACTCGAGAGCGGCTCCTGAAATAAAGGTCGCCGTTCACAGCAGAAGACTTACGGCTTTCTTGGACTTCTTCTTGGTGGACCTGGCCTTCTTGGCCTTCTCGACCACGGCGTAGAGGGCCAGGCAGAGCCGCGCCATGCGGGGAAGGTCGCAGACGTTGATCTCGAACTCCAGCCTCTGACCCCACGTCGGTTCCGAGCAAACGTTGACCTCGGAGCTGGACACCATTTTGCAGAGCATCTCGTTGCCGTGGTAGAGGCCGGCCTGGACCACCAGCTGCAAAGGAGGAAGGCCAATGGTGGGCTTTCGGTCCAGCCTCATAAGCAGAGAACAGAGCCGAGGAAAGAGATAACAGATAACAGGAGCAGAAGAAACAACTGCAGGATCCCTAGCACTGGAAGAGTCGGGAATGTCCTTTTTTAATTCCGTCTCCTGTGTTGTTAGGAGCTGCGGTGGCTCAAGTGGTTAAGAAGGGAAGGTAACAGCGTTCCGTGCGCCTTGGTGTTTAGTCATGCCGGCCACATGACCACGGAAGCGTCTTCGGACAGCGCTGGCTCTTCGGCTTTGAAACGGAGATGAGCACCGCAACCCTAGAGTCAGATTCAACTGGCTTTCAAGCAAGGGAACCTTTACCTTTTTTACCTGTGTTGTTTTTTAATTCTCCCTGCACGTAAACAAGTAGCCCGTTAGAAACTAGAGTTCTAGCCCTGCCGACGCCCCCGTTTTCTACCGGCAGGGCGACTGTTCTTTAAGATGCCGAAGAACTTTCAAAAAAGCGCTCACACATAACCGGAGGCCTGAAGTTTCTAAGAACTCGCCTTCTGCATACTGCACGGTGCCTCTCAACTTCCTCTGCTGAGGTTTCAAGGTTAACAGAGAGCTGAATGAAACCAGCATCTGGGGGCTCGCGGGGGTGTTATCACATGACTTCTGGCTTTCGATCTACACTAACCCCCCCCTTTCTAAAAACTGAGCAGTAAACAACAGCAGAGCAGGAAGAGGAGAAGCCGCAGTGCGTCTAGCCGAGAAATCCTACCTTCATCCGCTCATCCGCGTTCACCTTGCAGCCTCGCACCAAATCAATCGAGTAGGGCTGTTCCAGCAACCACAGGGAGGTAGAAGTCGGCTAGTGGGGTGGAAGGAGGGGAGAGAGAAAGAAGAGCAGAGACAGGGAGAACAACTGGCGTTTAGCAGAAATGCACAACAACCACCGGATTTCTCTTATGTTGTAGTTCTAGGAAAGAATTTTGTAAAAAACCAACGGAGAAATATACTGGTTGTGGTCTTGTGCAGAACTGATTCTGCGGCCTCATTCAGACACAGGGTCAA